ATGAATGCCCCTTTTGTACAGAATAGGTGCAATTGTAGGGAACAAGAAGGAAACCTAGGAAGGAAACCCATGAGGGACAGAGCAGCAGACTACAGAATCTGCCTACATATGTCAAGATTAGCCACAAAACTCCTGGAATTTTCAGAGATGATGTGTCCTGGTGAATGCTAACATTTGTCTATTGTATTTATCTTAAGAGATGCACTTATGTCCTGTCTACTTGATATGATCTCTATACAATCTTAATTCCTACACATCATAAAATAAACATAATGTGATTCTTCTCTTGCTCTTAAACTTTTTTGTGTGTGCATCTTTAGAGAGAAGGTCCATATAGTTCATCATATCTCAGAAGGGTCTACGACACCCCCAATAATGGTTAAGGAGTTCTGTAATGAAAAGTGTTCATATTGTGGTATACATGAGAATCACTTCTCCCTTCCCAAAAAAAGACTTCCCAAAGTCTGGTACTTAAAGTAATGATGAAGAAAAGCCCCTTGAGATGGCAGAAGTATGTGCAGAAGCAAACACCTTAACAAAAGTTAAAAAGCAACATTCTCCATATGAGATTTTACAAGTAGCAAACAAGTTGGAAAAAAATAATTAAACTATAAAACAAGCACATTTTGCTGTAGTAAGATTTACTTGAAACATGATTCATCTCCTCTGCACTTTATCAAACATTTTTGTACCAGTTCCCAAAGCATGTAATTAAACAGATTTATGCAGTCTGAATGCCTTCAAAGCTCTACTTCCCTTCTGTGAATTCCAGTGCCATCTGACAAATGCATGTCCAAGAAGTAAACTACAAGAACAAAGTGAGCTAGTTTCAATAGCCCTCCAAACAGAATTAAGGCACAGAAACAAAATTAAAGCCAGTTAGTGTAGTTAAGCAAATTAAACTCATCTAAAACACATAGGAAAGGGAAACGATTCGATGCCAGATGTACGGATGTCAAAACAAAAGCAAAATAAAATACTGCGTGAAAAGTGAAAATCCTTTCGAATAAAAACAAGTCAAGCATAATAACACGGCACGATTATCTGTTTTAGGTTTCTGATCTCTGATGCTAACATCATTCATCAGATCTGAAGTCCTAACAACTGTCAACACGGTCAACAAATAATCAGCGGTCATGCTTCCATTTCTAATCACTTAAAGGAGGAAGCTATCGGCCGGCTCACTTTCCGGTTTATAGCTTACAACGGCCATGGGACCCCCAAGAACCCGAGTCACCCTGCTCGGGCGTCCCAGCTGCATGGATCTCCCTCCGGGACGCGAGCGGCGCACGCGAGGACTCACCGGCAGTCCTTGAGCCATATCGCGATCTTCTCGTTGGGCACGTTTCCTGCGGGGCAGAGCGAGGGGACAGCTCGTTACCGATCCTAGGGAGGACTCTCATAGTGGGGTCAACCTGCACGCTCCCAGGTAGGAAAATCGACTGGGAGCAGAATGCAGCCTAAGCAACACATCTGGGTGTCATCTGAAGTGAAGCGATGGCACCGGGGTGTCTATGTTGACGCTGGAGTCGCCTTGCCAAGCGCGCGCGTTTAAAGGTCGGAAGCGTCCCCTCTGCTCTCGGCCCCTCAAGCCCGGGAGGACCTTCCAGAACCCACAGCAGTGGCCCAAGGCGCCCAAGACTTCCCCCGCCCGCCAGCCCGAACTGCCTGCGTCCCCGCCGCTACCCGGCCGGGCGCACCGACCTCTCCCCGCGGCCGCCGGCAGCTTCGCGCCCGGGAGGTCCTCCTCGTCTTCCTCGTCCTCGTCCTGCGTCGTCGCTTCTGTGGACAGGTCCTCCGTCTCCGACGCCTGCCAGGAGCTGCGGCACTTGGCCCAGGCCTTCCTCCTGCGACTCGCCACTTGCCACTCCAGTTCCTCCTCCGCCTCCGCCGACGCCACCAGGGGCCGGTCCATGGCCGCACCGGGGGCTCCGCGGCCCCAGCCGGAGCCTGCGCGAGACAAGGCGGCGGCGGGGACCCCCGCCCCTGCTGTCAGCGCCCTGCCGGGCTGGGGGCCCCTGGGAGCGGGCGCGGGCGCGGGAGGAGGAGGAGGAGGAGGAGGCGGAGGAGGAGAAGGAGGAGGAGGAGGGGAGGGCAGGGAGGGAGGGAAGGAAGGGGAGGGAGGGGGCGGAGGGCCGGCGCTTCACATGAAGCCGGCCTGGCGCGGCGCGGCGCGGCGCGGGAGCGCGAGTGGCCTGAGCGAGCGCGGCTGGAAGCCGAGCGCCGGCTGCCCCCCTCCCGCCTCCGTCCGGCGCGCCCGGGTCTGGCCCGCGGCCGCACGGCTGCGCGCCCCGCCCTCGACGGCGTGCCCCGCCCCCTTCCGGCCGGGGGCGCGCGGGCAGGGGAGGGGAGGGGCGGGGCGGGGAGTGAGCCGCCAGCCCGCCGCCGCGACCCGCGAAGTGGGCGCGATTTGTTCGCTTGTTAGTAATCTTTCTGCCTCTCGACTTGTGCTCTGGCGGTCTAAAACAGAAAAACTGTGGTAAGGCCAAGTGTCACGAAACGCCCGTCTTCCCCGCGTCCGGACAAGCGTCTGCTTGGGCTCGCTGAAACTTACTCTAGGAGGAGTCCCGGGAGTTGTGGATAAAGATGAAAGAAAGAGGCGCGTGTTTGGTATTTCTTGTCAAAGTGTCCAAACTGGAAGAGACCAAGCTTTGTAGAGGACTACTTTCATGTCTAAGAAGGTTCTTTATCGTGATTGTGTTAGGTATGAAAATAAATTGACAAAGAATCTTTCATCTGGAAATTCCACATTGAAGTTGGGCTTAAAGAAGTGAAGGAAAGGAGAGCACAGAATGGCCGGGAAAATGTAGATATATTTGCTTGGTTTTTGGTGCTACAAGAAACAAATGTCAAGGTTCAGAACTATATTGAAAAATGAATGTGAGCCGTTCCCTTTTCTTATTTTTTAAATCTCATAGCAGAAAGACGGTTAAATTCTATTCAAAATCAGAAACAAACTTCGAATGGTTTACCGGTATCCACAAGATCATATCCAAAGTCCAAATTAACTTTGCAGAAAACCATCATAATATTCTGGGCCTTATGTATACTGTGAAATGGAAGAGGAGCTAGAATGGTGATACCAGTATCTCACTGGCTTGAGATTTCACTATTTCTTTGCATCTTAAAGACTTTTCAGCCTTCAAGAGTCCTATAGCAAAACGCAGCTAACAGTTTAATGGCCCTCCGAAATAGGCCAGAGTCTAGCTGCCCGTGGGAAAGATACGCCACAGAAAGTGAGGGAAGTACCTAGAGAGGAGACGCTGAAAGGGCTCGTCAAAAGCCACAGAGAACAAAATATGCTGCCTTCATAGTACCGTTCAGGGCCCCGACGGATCCTACCCATCCGCTGTTCCCAGCTTCAATTCTGTCATCTCTCTGTGCTGTTGCTGACTCTATGTCCTTGCCTCAAAATTCATTCCACTTCTTTCTGTCCAGTACCTTCGTGATCTTCAAGATCCAGCTAAGCCAGAACTTGTCTCAACACCATCCTTCCAGCACTCCCCTGTCACCAGTTCCCTGATAAACAACTGAATGTCTACATCATTCATCTGGGGACCGAATTGTGTAGTAAATGATATGGCCTCTGAGGGTATGTTTGACTTCCCAGCCAGATTGTAAACTATGAGAGAGCAAAGAACGTTTCTCAGTATTCTTGCACCCCTCAACACTTTTCGTACAGTACTGATCCCACCCGGAACAAGAGTTCTCCTGAAGTAAATTTCTGTTCTTTATGTTCTTTAGAATGGACAGTCCAATGGACAAAAGATTTGCTTCATGTTGTTTCTCTAAGGCCTATTATGTTTTAGTTTTGTTGTTTAAATACACTTTTAGACAACAACAAAGAATTCTTGAGAAAAGCAATAACGAACCATATTTTATGTTTAAAAACCAAACCTCCGAGTCGAATAATAAAGAAAAAAAGCCAACAGGTAACAGAATAGAGTACAACAATTGTCAAATCTCCGATAGCAGAATTGTGTGTTTTCTTCTACATGATAATTTTTAATGCAAAATGTTGAGGGTACAAAAATAATAGAGAAGGAAATCCTTGAAACAGCAAGCTATTTTGAAAAGTAAGGGATTTTTGTATTCTCAACTTTGAGATTTTAAAAAATGCCCAAGGTACATTTATTCAATAATGAATGCCATACCACACATGAGGAGAGTTCTGTCTTTTGCTTCTTCAAGGACTTTTTCCCAAACAAGTACTGTATTGTAGACCAACTGCAAATCCACATTGCAGAAGCTCTACGTAAAAGATAACGTCTGACTGCTTAACAACAAAAAAACAAACAACCCGATCAAAAAATGGGCAGAAGACATGAACTGACATTTCTCAAAAGAAGATATGAATATGGCCAATAGACACATGAAAAGATGTTCATCATCGCTGATCATCAGGGAAATGCAAATCAAAACTACACTAAGATATCACCTTACACCCGTTAGATTGGCAAAAACATCCAAAACCAAGAGCGACAAATGTTGGAGAGGTTGTGGAGAAAAAGGAACCCTCATACACTGTTGGTGGGAATGCAAACTGGTACAGCCACTATGGAAAACAGTATGGAGATTTCTCAAAAAGTTAAAAATAGAAATACCCTATGACCCAGCCATCCCATTACTGGGTATCTATCCTAAGAACCTGATATCAGAAATCTCAAGAGTCCGTTGCACCCCTATGTTCATCGCAGCATTATTTACAATAGCCAAGACGTGGAACCAGCCTACATGCCCAGAAACTGATGATTGGATAAAGAAGATGTGGTATATATACACAATGGAATACTACTCAGCCATAAAAAAAGACAAAATTGGCCCATTCACAACAACGTGGATGGACCTCGAGGGTATTATGTTAAGCGAAATAAGCCAGTCAGAGAAAGACGAACTCTATATGACTCCACTCATAGGTGGAAGTTAGTATATTGATAAGGTGATCAGATCGGTGGTTACCAGGGAAAAGGGGGGGTGGGGGGAGGGCACAAAGGGGGAAGTGGTGTACCCACAACATGACTAACAAAAATGTACAACTGAAATCTCACAAGGTTGTAATCTATCATAACATTAATAAAAAAATAAAAAAAAATAACGTCTGAGTCACTGACGCTTATGAGGTGGAGGAAGAAATGAATTTATATTAGATGTGGATAATTCCATCCAGCATGATGTAGTGGAAACAGTACAATCTTTGGTGTCAGACTGAAGTTTGAAATCTGTTTCTGTCTCTTTCTAGTTGTATGGCCTGGGGCAAGACAGCTAATATCTCCGGCTATCACGTTCCTCATCTGTGAAACAGCAATCATGATAACTGCCCTCTCAAGGTGATGTGAGTGTCACATGGAATAAAGTAGGTGCTCATATAACTATTGAAATTACTATATTGCAGAAGGCAAAAATCAATTTCATACGGGGGGATTATTCTTATGCTAGTAAATGGCATCTATCTTCATGCTTATGCAGCTGGATTTTTTTTTTTTTAAGATTGGCACCTGAGCTAACATCTTTTGCCAATCTTCTTCTTTTTTTTTTTCTTCTTCTTCTCCCTAAAGCCCCCAGTACATAGATGTATATTCTAGTTGTGAGTGCCTCTGGTTATGTGCAGCTGAATTTTTTAAATGGCATAAATTCAGGCTAGGACAGAAAACATACTCTGGTTAAATTAGGCAGTTTTAAATGGAAAAGCTTATATCAAAAGTGAAACATTATGTTCAGTCTAATTACTTTAGTTATTTTTTGCTTTTCCAGTCCTTAACCCATGCCTCAAAATTACAAAACAAGATTTGCTGAGTAAGCTAAGGCATTTTCATGTTAGCTTAGATAAGGCACTTGGTATTTTGGCTAAGGTTATGGTATTGTTTCTTCAATAATATTTATGTAATAAAAATTTCATTTTGTTCATCGAAATATTAATAATTCAGAATTTGATCAGAAAGTGGTATTGTCACAGCTTACCGAATTTTCACCCGTTATTAGACAAAAGGGAGCTGGGAAGTGTAAAGTAAGTAGAATTGTAGATTAAATAAACAGAGGAACATCTTGTATTTTAGAGTTGCCTGGAGAAAAGGATGGTATATAAAATTATTTTGGAGAACACTACATATTATATCCTTGCTTCCCCATATCCCAACCCAGTCACTGAATGTTAAAGACTTAAGAAGTCTTCAAGATTTATTTAAAAGAAAAACTCTTTAACTTTGTTTAACCCAGTATTTCTAAAATTTATTTCAATATGAAATCTTTTGGGCTCCCTCAATATACCTATTAACATTTCCAGGGATAGCAGTGGAATAATTTGCAATAGGATAAAAGAGAATGAAAGGAAAATGTTGCCCCTAGAACTAGTGAATTCTTCAAAAACTCTCAAAGGTTTATTTACAAATCATGTAATTGAACTATGAGGAAAGGTGGTTAGTCTGACTTAGATTGGTTTTTTGATGTATTCCTTTAAGTTATTATTAATTTTTAAGGTATTTCTAGTCATTATGTATATTTTAAAGTAGTAAAATGGCGTATTTAAGGTCTACAATTTAAACTTATTCTTAGGGTTTTTCCACATTAGCAAAAGTTCAAGGATTATTATATTAGTTCAGTGTCCTCATAAGTAAGCATTAACATAACATAATAATCTGCTATTTTGATTTCTTTTCTTTTTCCCAAGTACACACCGGAAGGTGAAGCAGGTGTCAATACTACTGGAACTTTGCCTTGCAAATTATTTACATAATCTAGGTAAGTTTATATACCTTCTGATTTTGTGCATATTGAAGACTTGTCATTTTATCACTCATTTCACTGTTCCCAGATCACAGTTTCTTCAGTTTGCCATATAATGCTAAATTTACCCTCCCCATACTAAAACCTTGAAGACAGCTTGTTTTTTCAGTGGCTCAATTCTCTGGTGTTTCTGAGCAACAGGTAGGAATAGCTCATCGATTCTTCTTCAAGAATAAGTGAAGCAACATTATACAACAGAAAAGCTTTATTTGGTCTGTTTTATGAATTCATGAAACAACTCAGAGGAGGTTTTGAAATCCTCATAACTGGACATAATTACACATGGAAAAGCCAAAATCTTTTTTAATTCACCTGTAAAACCTTAATGCTCAAGTTTAGTCCTTTTTTCTTTTTCATTTCAGTCCTGTCCTAGAATACTGCTTTTAAAGATCTCTGACGTTTTGAATCATAAAAGCTTTTAAAGAGGTTTATCTATCGATATCAAATGCTCAGTCTGTGCCACTTGATATTAAACATTTTTATGCAATATACACAACAAAATGGGAGGATGTCACTTGCCAATCTTAATACTGTCCTATTATGTGATCAATTTATTGATACACATTTTCTTCCTAATTTAAGATTAATTTCTAGCTCTTATGTTACATATATGGTGTCTTCCTATTTGAAGCCATTTAGAACATTAAAAAATTATTTCACTATCCATATATTTGGAATTATATGTTCACATGTAAACCTCTCCTTTCACATTTTATGGGGATCAGAAAAAAGAGGATGGTGACTAGATGAACCATGGATCGATCTAGTATTGAAGTATCTTTAAAGCCTTAAATGGTACAGACCTCATAAATGGTTTTTTAAAACACACACCCACAATGTCTTTTTTAAAAAATAATTCTGATGTGTGCCTGAACCTGAATCAATATAAACTGCTGCACTGGCCTCTCCCACCACATTTCCCTTCTCTAATCTCCCTTCTGCAGCGCCTTCATGCCCTCTCAGAACAAACACAATCTGCATTCAGAACAGGACCGTTTACAAGTTGAATGGAGTTGTTTTGGGTGAGTCATTGAAAACACAGTACAAAACCTTTCCTCACTCACCAGAAATGCATTTTTAAAATAAAGCCAAAGTGAACAAGGCTTGGCAAGTTTGAGGGTGGACAAAATGGGGAGAGAGTGGGGTTTCTGCCAGACTCAGACAGGATTCTGCTAAACCATTTTCGGCTATTCTTTACATTCAATTCCACTAATTTCCCTTACCATCACTAACCAAAAAGTACAAGATTGAGCAAGTAGGACGTCAAAACAAGGGCACTTCATTTCAACCAGCACTGTGATGGTGAGCAGAGCCCGGAGATCCCTTATAGCTTAGGGACAGTTTTAAATCCCCCTTTCTGTCATTCTTTAATTCAGAAGCTGGAAGATGTATACACTTAATTATCCCTTTCTTCTGATTAAGTCATTTTGAGAGATTAATAATAATTCTAGGCAATTTTTAGAAAGTAGAGAGTAGAATTTTTAGAAAGAAAAAATTTTTATAAATTCAGTATGCAGTTCTTTAAAATTGCTTTTAAAATAAGTGACGTTCCATGAGGGTTAATCAAACAAAATATTAAAGGAAATAGAGCTATAAAGACAAAAATAATAAGCTAGCTCCTAAGAAACTTTTAAAATTCGATTAATATAATAAAAGTCTATACAATGGCTTGATAAATTTTAGACACTTAACATGCAAGTGTGCAAGATTTATGAATCAGAATAGATTCCTATTTATCTATTTATAGAACATATTACTCACCCTTTATCCTGCAGAGAACTTTCTAGCAGAAATACAAGTGATTATTTTTCCACAACCTGCTACAGATCAGTTGAGGCTCACATCTCATGAATGAGGAGAAAGCTAGAATCAACAAGGAGACGTTCTTAAACATATAATGGGAACTCAGAACTCTTTTGCTGTAAAGTTTGATAATCCCTAAAAGTCACCTTTAACACAGGTTGACCCAGCCCGTTACTGGGCACTGATTAACACACCTTGTACGGTGCAAGTACAGTTAGCAGTGTTGCCTGTTCACAAAGAGTCTAGCCCAAGCTGTGGGGACATCTACTAGATGTAATTAGGCTAGTATTCTCCTTGCACTCCCTGTGATTTATCAGTTTCCACAAGGCAGGGTGACAATTGTTGGTTAAACGGAATGAAAACTCTGTGTTTGAAAGTTAATCTGACTATGGAAGCACCAGGGTCATAATAAACAAACACATATTTCCTGCTGTAGTTAAGAACATAGCAAAGAACTCTCGTTTCCCACATTTGGGGGATTTTTTTTTCCTTTTCTTTTCTTTTATGGTTAAGCAATTGTTTTTAAACTATAAAATAAGTACTTACACAGCCTTCAAAGTTTATCTTGCCCATCTGAGAATGATTTTATCTCATTTCGTTGTATTTAAAGATAATCTACATAAGATCAAAAGTTAAAGGGACGAAATATCTATTGACGGAAACCCAAAACTAAGAACTTCCCTGAAATCTTGTTTCAAAACAAACAGAAAAGTGAAGCAAACCCCCATTAAAATTTCTTTGGGGAAAGAAAGTTTATTAGTGCTATTAGGTAGTATTTTTGGCCTGGATTACATTAGTACTAATGAAACAGCTTAAAGCAGTGTTTATTCACAGACTGTTATTAAATAAAAGAACTACAGGGTAAAGGTCAGCACACAGGTTGTTTTGCTTAATTTTTAAAAAATCCCCTGAGCTTATGTCTTTCCAGTTTTTTTCAAATGAGTCAGCCCAAGTTGGAACCCTGAAACCTTTAAATACTATAATTGCAATTGTGCTGATAACCAATTTGGAGAAATGCTATTAGAAAAACAATTATTGGGCCAGCCTGGTGGCGTAGTAGTTAAGTTCACACACTCTGCTTTGGCAGCCTGGGGTTTGTAGGTTTGGATCCCAGGTGTGGACCTATACATCACTCATCAAGCCATGCTGTGGCAGAGTCCCACATACAAAACAGAGGAAGACTGGCAACAGATGTTGGCTCAGGGCCAATCTTCCTCACCAAAAAAGAAAGAAAGAAAGAAGAAGAACAGTTATTTCAGTGGACCCAAGGAAATGACAATGTTAAAAATGGATACTTTTGATTGAGCACTACTTTGTGCCAGACACTGTATTTAGGGCTGGATTTATAGCATCTCATTTAATACAACAACTCTATAAGGGCTTGTATTATTCTCACTTTACAGATAGGGAAACTGAGCTTCAGAGAGGTTAATACTTGCCCCAAGCCACGTACTAGTAAGTGCAGAGTGGAATCAAGACTTTACCCCTGCAAAGCCCATGATCTTACCTAAGATATGTGACTGTCTCATAGTACTCCAGGTCTACTGTTAGAGAAACATTAGCAATCATTTACTCTCATCAGAGAGGAGACTCTTCACTTACAGCTGATGGGCAGAGGGTCACTGTGACTCACAAGTGGAAGGAATCCTAAGAGGCAATAATCTACTATAACTCTCTCATTTTACAAGGGACGAAAACTGAGCTCCGAAACTCTAAGTAGCCTGCCTAAGATCAGCCATCTAGTTAGTGACAGAAATATTTAGGGACAAGAATCCTTGTCTCAACAGCCCTACAAACATTGATAAAGGCAGAGGAAGAAAAACTGCTTTTTCTCTTATCAAATCTTCTGAAAAACTCAGAGAATGTAAAAACAAAGATTTTAGTATCCAGGCTTCTTACCAGCCTGTAATATTATAATTTATCAGTAAAGCTGATACTTCTGACCCAAAGCTGTAGCTCCGCCTAGCCATATTTCCAGGGAGGACTCAAGGTTGGGGACAGTGAGAATCTCTGTAAACTTGGGTATGTTATTCAACTTATGTTGGAGTCCTTCTAGGATAACATTCAATTCTCTATTAGATACAAAAGCCCAAGACTGTAACATCCCCAGCCCAGCCACATCCTTGTACTCAAAGGACTTTCCCAAGGGGAACCATATTCATGATCAAAAAGTGAGAATTGTTGCTCCTCGACCTAAAGTCTGGTCTTCCAAGCAAGTCTCAACTGCCCAATATAGGACCTGAACTTTTGAGATTTCACCCAAGAACAATTTAAAACTCTGTCTTGAAGAGAAACAATATTCAGAAAGTTTTTCTAAAGGATAAACATTCAGCAACTCCCGTGACTATCTAATAAGGAATCTTCCCAGAAGTTAAGTATGTCACCCTGTCTTCTCTTTAGGAGGATCTCAAGAGAAATATCTTTCTACCCAAGAAGAGTTGAAATTACTGGGATATTTTTTTTTAATCTCATGGGCACTGGGATTTGGATAACTGACAAAGTTTCTGTTTTTACATTGGTTACTAGAAAATTGAGAGCCAAATGTGTGGCTCACTCATGGTGGATGAGTGGGTCATCATGGTATGCATCTTAAACCTTATTCATAGCTCCAGTTTGTCCCCACCCTTGTTTTTTTTTCCTTTCTTCTTCCATTTTTTCTTTTCTTAAAATAAAATTTTGTAATGTTTGATATTCTTTTTCTGCAACATGACAAGGAATAGGTAAATAACATATGTGAGAATATTATGCAAAACTATATGTTTAGTATACAAATATGTACATATATAGAGGAATATTGGGAGGGAAATAAAGATGCTCTGTTAAAATGTCAATATTCTGGACAGATTTTTTTTCTAGATTTTCCAAATTTTTTCAAGTTGTATTTGCAATTTAGGGAGAAAAAGTTATTTGAACTTTGAAAGCTCTAGCTATTTATCCCAGAGGTAGAAGAAGTGTGGGAAGTATGTGCATGACCCTATGCAATATACTTCAGTTTGTTTATGTTAAAGCAAGTTGAGAACCTCATAAACTGAGGTTAGAATGGTAGGTGACAGCCAAATTTTAAAGGCCTTGGTATACTATTCTAAGGGATTTGTATTATTACTGGTAGGAAGTTGGAAGCAGCTTTCATTTGTTAACTAAAGTGCTTTATTGAAAGGTAACTAGTAACTATATAGTTGAAAGAGTAGGGCAGGGGAAGTCCTCAGGCAAGGGAGCCAGTTAGGAGGCTTATTAGTGTGGGGGATGGGAGGTGGGAGATGGATAGAGACTAAAGTCAGAGCAGTGGGGATAAGGACTGTGATCAGATTTGACAGATTAGAAATAGCTTGGGGAGAAGAAACAGAATGATCCCCAAGGGTTTTTTTGTACTTTAGGTAAATGGATAGGTATTGGCGTCATTCAACATGGTACAGAATTTAGGAGGATTGTTTATTTGGCATTAATTTGTTTGGGAGTAAGGGGAACAAGAGGAAAGAAAGGAAAAGAGTTAACTATTGGACATATTGATTATGAGGTGCTTATAAAATATACTGATGGAAATGAAGCTCCAAGCATTCAGAAATACATTACAGAGCTGGAACTCTGGATAAAACTTTGCCTTAAATATTGTAGGGGGGTGTGTGTATATGTGTGTGAGTGTTTGGAGTCATTAATACCAGACAGCCATCTTTCTGTATGATCCTGGGCAGCCCTCTTCCTGTTTACCAGGTAAGCTATTGCAAACCTACTGAGGTAATAATCATTAGTGACTTCTAAAATGCCAAATCCAGTCAATCCTTTTCAGCTCTCCTTTTATAGGTATCTTTATAGCATTTGTCAGGATTGTATTCCTCTCATTTCTTTCTTGACCTTATGTTTTCTGACTCTCATACTTTTCAGTCTCCTTCACTGGCTTCATTCTTTTGTCAGCTGTATTGTTGTGTTCCTCAGAGTTCCCCTCTCTTAAGTTCACACACCCTCCCTGACTGAGATGGAGAAGGCTTCAGGTGGAGGAGTTTTGGGAGAAACAAAAGTTTGTTGATATGTATGGTAATGGATAAAAACTAGACTGTTGGTGGTGAGCACAATGCAGTCTATACAGGAACTGACATATAATAATGTACACCTGAAATTGCACAATGGTATAAATCAATATAACCTCAATAAAATAATTTAAAAAATAAAAATAATTTTCAAAAAATTTGTTGAATGTGTTAAGTTTGAAAGCCTGTTAGACATC